GTTAGTCAGTTCAGTTCAGTATTTCAGTTAAATTTTCAGTTCAGTCAGTTCAGTCATGATCAGTCATGTGCAGTCAGTTCAGTTCAGTTTAGCAGTACCAGTTCAGTCCAATTTTTCTTTTCAGTTAAGTTAGATCCCAAGAGGGTTCCAGTTAACTATTCAGATCAAGTCGAGCATCTTAACAGCTATTTTAATCAGTCTGAGTATAGTACTTAGTATTTGTTTATATATGTGTCAGTTTTGCAGGCAGTCAACACTTACATTTTCAGATCAGCAGTTCAGGTGGGGACTCAGACTGGATATTACATTGATTATAATTACGCTACCATGTTTGAGGTATGTATTATCAGTATCCGCTCGGAACGGTCGCCGGTCCATTCTAGGTTCTAGTGGCCTTAATCTGCCCACTAGAGTGTGCACATGGTGTCCGACATTTTTATGTTGGCAGATGTTCAGTTATCAGTCAGGTGATGTTTATCACAAGATCAATATCAGATTATTCAGTATCGGTATCAGTTATCAGTTCAGTTTCAGTTTCAGTATCAGTTCAGTTATATATGCCAGGATCATGATATTGTTATTATTTTCACTGTTTACTTCAGTATGAGTTTCTGCGGAGCACAGTGGATTAGTGCTCACGCCCCCACATTATTCATGTTTTTTCAGGTAACAGGGTCGGAGCCAGGGAGTGAGCTGGCGAATGGTTCAGGAATTTTGTATATATGTTAAATCATGTTTTGGCTACACTATGTTTTCCGCTGATGATTTTAGTTTATCAAATCAGCTTTTATTTCGACTTTCAGTCGGTTAATATATTACGTTAAACCGTTGGTTTTTTTTTAAACTAAAATAACGATTTTCAGATAAAGTCAGATTTTACGGTAGCACCCCGAGTCAGTATTTCGCAAAATATATGTTTTTTTTTAGAAATTTTTTTGCGAAAAGCGCACTCTGAATTTCATGAAATAGCGGGGTGTTACATATATTGTGCGGTAATGATGAGCATACTCGTTTTGCTCACCCCCATTATCTTTTTCTTTGTCTCATCTTCCTTTCTTTAGGTTTAGCATGGCTGGCGGCGGCATAGTGAAGATGATCGAGTGGTGGTCATTCATTGTTGCATTATTATTGTCTCTTACTTTCGTCTGTTATTATTCATGTTGAACTATTTGAGTTTCCTTTGGATATTTCTGCTTCCTCTTTGGTTATTATAAATTTCGTTTGGTTTTGGAGCATATTGAATAAGTTGTTTTAAATATTTATAACTGTTAGTTTATTCACGTATGGGTTCAATCTGTTTGTTCGTACTTGTTAAGTTGTTGCTGGTAGTTAAGTAGTGCCCGTTGATAATCAAGTTTTAAATTGAAAATTTACAAAAAATTAAGTCTGATTTTTATAAATAAATTCGGTAAATTCATTAAAATAAAACGGGGGTGAAGTTGGTAGATGCACACTTTGGAGGTGAAGTTGGTCATCGGAGAAGCACTGTCGGTTATGTTTTCACTGTAGGAACTACAACTGTTAGTTGGATGTCGCAGATACAAAAAAATGTTGTTCTATCCACTATAAAGGCAGAGTATGTAGCAGTGACAGAAGCTAGTAAAAAATTGATATGACTTTAAGGATTGTTAGCAGGTTTCACTCAAATAGGAAGTGTGTTGCACAGTGACGGTCAGAGTGCAATATATCTGGCAAAGAACTCAATGTTTCACTCTAGAACTAAGCACATTGACATACGATATCATTTCATCAGATCTGTTCTTGAGGATGAAGTGTTGACTTTGAACAAAATTGTAGGAAGAAAGAACCCAGCAGATATGCTAACGAAGGTGGTGACCATTGACAAACTGAAGTTGTGTTCCACTTCAGTTGGCCTGCTAGAGTAACAGACTGGAGAAGACTACTACAGTAATTGAGGTGTGAGGGCAGGTTGAAATCAGTCTTCAAGTGGGAGATTATTGAGTCAAAAATGACAGTTCAACCATCTTTCTTTGATAGCAAGAAAAGAAGAAAAAAGCAGCAGCCTACAATTGCCTACGGTTGAAGAATTTAGAGTGCAATGTTGACTGTGCATTCTCCCTCTATAAATAGGGGGATTTTGATGAACACACAACACAACCAAAAAATACAAGAAGAAAAAAAGAGAGAGTGCGCTAGTAAAAAATAATAATTTAGTCTTTTGTATATTTTTGAGTTGTGAGTGAGTTTGAGATTGTTTTGTAAAAACGAGTGTATTTATTTTTTCTTAAGTAAATATTTGCGGTAGCCCGTAGACGTAGGCATTATTGACCGAACTCCGTCATCAGTTTGGTGTGTGCGATATTTTACTTTTATTTCACTTTTATAGATTCAATTTCATAGAAAATTCAGCGAATTTTTCTTAACTAAGTTATTCCATAAATTTTGCCTCTTGTTATACCTTGATGTGAGAAGAATATGGATTTTCTTGAAATAATGAAACGCGCAAATTTTAGTTGCTACTCAAGAAAGTGGGGATAATTTCAAAATTGGTCCAATAATTTGGTCACAGTCCAAAAAACCACCCCTATATTGGCCACTATCAAAATTGGTCCTATAATTTCAAAATTTAATCAAATTTGGTCCTTTTTAAATCAAATTTGGTCCTCTTTTAATCACATTTTAATCCATGTTCTAGATAAAAAGGACCAAATTTGATTAAATTTTAAAAATATAGGATCAATTTTGATAGTGGCCAATATAGAGGTGGTTTTTTGGACTGTGGCCAAATTATAGGACCAATTTTGAAATTATGCCCAAGAAAGTGGTCGCATCTTGTGCTTGAAATTTAAAACCATGCAATATAAACTTATGTTGTAGCCTGTAGGCACTTAGTTCAAAGTGCCACTGTGCAGTGTGTACACTCCTCTCCTCGTAGCTGACTTTTGATTTTACTTCTGATTATTATTAAATTAAATTGTTGAGCAAACTAAAGCAAAAGATGGTTATGCATGTGACAAAGTGAGTTGTTATATAATTTGATTCTTGGGGGGGCCAATTGCCATTCTTTTTTGCTCGTAAAAGGACTTCAGCTGGCGCTATATTACAAGTTTACAATCAAGGGAGCCTCTTTTGCTGATGAGCGAGTGTGAGATCTCTCTGTCTTTGCAGAGACTAGTTGTGAAGTATCTGTTGTTCTCGAAACAAGATTAACAGGTCAGTTTGCAACAAATTACATTTCCATGGTTTTTTTTTTAGAAATTCGCATGTAATTCTTCGAATTTTCAGTTTTTGGGAGTGGCTGTTTATGGGCTTGAACAAAATTTAAGCCTCAATTTTTATTTATTTATTTATTTATTTTTTTTAAATATTCAACGAGAAACTTACTTTGGTGTAAAGAATGTGTAATGAAGAAAGATGGGCAAGCAAGAATGTAGACATTTCTGAAAGTTACCATTTCAGGTGGAGTTTTCTTGTTATTCAGTACAAATCGTATATTTCCCTTAGTAATAGTTTATTGTGTATATATATATGAGTTTTTCAAGTGTGGGGGTTATAATGAATCAAACTATTCCTTGCGTGAGCCTGAAATTTAACTTTGGCAGGCCCGGCCATACTTTCCTTGCTGTACAATTTGTTGGTATGCTGAAGGGTACAAACACAATTTTTGAACTTTAATCAGTTTTGATTCTGAAACTAAATGGCACTTGAAGATTTACTGGGAAATGATTCGATATGTAGATAGTCATGAAGATGATTAACACCCTTTGAGGTGAAATTTATATGCAGTTTAGTTCGGTAACAATTTCATGCTTCGTTTGGGGGTCATTAGTTGTTGTCTACAGGATGGGTGAGCCTGAGATGGCAGAAACAGAATCAAGTGAAAATGGAGTTGCTCATTCTGAAGAAATAACCGCATCAGGACATACAATGATCAAATGCCATGTCAGAAAGAAGAAATCTCTGCGGGCCCGTTACGCTTATGGAGTCATTTTTCTGTTAACGAATATCATAGGTTGGCTCTTTAGGGACTACGGAGAAAGGATTTTGCCTATGTTGCCATGTAAGTTCTGCATTTTTCTAGCTTTTCCCACATTTCCTAGGATAGAGTTTTCTCGGATTCGAATGTATATAATGCACAAATCTCGTAAGTTGCATTGTGTTTTGTTATTTTAATTGAAACTCGTAACAGCTCGTGAAAAGTCGACAGTTTCTGGGAATCAGAATTAAGTTATTCCTTGTCATCTGAGATAATGAACTTGTAAAGGCATCCAGTTGTTCTATTGATTTAAACCTTTTCTTCAGGTTGTTATGGATCTAAAGGAACTCAGACAAATGAACTTACTGCCGAATTACTCCCAATAAAATTGAATATTTTTTGTATTTTCTTACTGCAGACTCAAAAGCCTGTGGGGCAGAGGAGCAAGAATGTTACCATACAATGGGAGTGCTTCGAGTCAGTTTTGGATGTTTTGTATCCGTACACGTATTTAAGTTGCTTTGCAATGTTTGTTTCTAGATTTTGTATGTTTTCTCTCAGAACTCACTCGAATGCTATTTTCTTTCCACAATTTTCTTTATTTCTCTTATCATTTAGGATATCGAAAGAAATTGGAAAATCTGATTTGAGCAAAGCTTTTACCTTGACACACTATTATAGATATTCTTTTTTATAATGTTTCTGACCACTGCCAACACAAGAAAATTACATGAAGTTAGAAATACATGGCATTCTGGATGGTGGGGTCTGAAGTTTATCCTGTTGCTCATCTCCTTCATGATTCCATTCTTTATACCCTCGGATTATATTCAACTCTATGGTAAGTTTACCAGAACGAACTCTAATGATTCAAGTTTTCTTGAGCCGGCTTGCCAATATTACAGAATGTTAGTTAAGCAAAATTTTCAAACTCATATTTTCTGTCAATCTTCATTCTTCTGAAATTTAAAAAACTTTCGTTAATATATTTGCAGGTGAGCTGGCTCGTGTTGGTGCAGGGTAATCCTTTTTAATCTTATCAACTTTTAACATGAACTCTCTTTCCGTGATGGTTCTATGGCTGGATACATTCAATATCACAGCTGTTGAAGGAGAATTAACAAGTAAAGAACTCATATAAGATTCTTAGTGAAATCTCAAAAAAATTAGCTAGTCTATGTGGAATGCTATCAAAGAACTGTCAAATTACGGCTTAATATAACCAATGGATCGGCAGGACAGAGCCATAAATGCATTCACTGTTTTGCTTTAAGTTGTAGAATTTCAATTGTGGCTTCATAATAAATATCTGGCAAGGTAATTATGGAACAGGGTTCCATTTTCTATGTTAGTGCAATCTTCTGTAAGCAATATATTCAGTTAAAATCTATCCATCTGCAACTCTAGTTTCGGCTGAGCATTTCTGTAACACTATAATGCATACATTAATAAGTATTTGATTCTAAGTGGTCATGGTGCAGGATTTTCTTGATTCTCCAGCTCATAAGTGTGATTGAGTTTATCACATGGTGGAATAACTACTGGATGTCTGATGATAGAAAGAAATCAAGGTCCAGTGATGCATTTTCATTTAACAATGTACAATTTGAATAATTAGTCGGGTAGACTAACCGACCAACATAACTGCTCAACATTAAGTGTTTTTCAATGATTCAACTGTCTTTCCGTTCAGTATATGAGAGGTTCCTTAAGTTCCATTCAGTTCCATCTATAATATTTAAAAATCCTTTGAATTTGAAAGTTGAGAATGTTAGGTGATGTCTTGTTCGAACAAAATGTGTTATTGAACAACTGAAACTGTTGTGTCGAATAGCTTCTGATTAGAGCTTGAACACGATGATGAAACTTACGTCTGCCGAATAGCTTCTGCCTAATTAATGTTCACTTGATTTTCTACAGAAGTTTAGTGATATATATTCAGTTTCTTTAGACAAGTTTAACTGCAATATAATGTTTTGCTTATTTCCAATGACAGCTGTTCAATCGGGCTATTCATGTCAACGGTATTTTACATATCTTCTGTCTGTGGAATTGCGGTTATGTACGTGTTTTACGCCTCCAAAACATCATGCACTCTCAACATATTCTTCATCTCTTGGACCGGTGTTCTTCTTGTTGTGATGATGGCCATATCCTTGCACTCAAAGGTATGACTCTGCATTAAATATGTTGCGGAAAGAGTATCTTTAATCTGATGCATGTGATACGATCTAACAATTCTTTTCAACAGTTTAAATGTCAGCTCCCAAAGAATAATAAATTAAGAAATAAAAAAGAAGAAGTGCTACATGCATCATTAGAAGAGTTTATGATTGTAATATATGCTGATGCAGTTTTCTTAATCTGCGATATGACTCTTGTCGTGACTGACAGGTGAACAGAGGTCTGCTGTCTTCAGGGATAATGGCCTCGTATATTGTTTTCCTATGTTGGACTGCTATCAGAAGGTAGGTAGTCTTAAATGTTTGTTGAAGTAATTTTGTTCTCTAACCCGTGTTTGATAAAGTTTGTCCCATATTTAGGAGGGGAATAAATGATGCTCTCTAACTTAGAAAAAAGATAATAATTATATCACATGTTGAATATATCATTTCTTAGACATCCAAAAATTTTACTTGTTCAGTTAGTACCGAATAGATTTGT